AAGTCAAATAAAGTATTGTTCACATCTATGGTTTTATTTTTTTAACCGTGTATACATAATATCAAAAAAAATATTTTTCTACGTTTATATATTCGCTAGGTAAACAGGATTGTTTATCATTACATAAAAATTTTCGAATTTGAATTTGAAGCAGAAGTAGTATCACAATAATAATGGAAAGCATCGATCTGTTCTTGAGTTAAGGAAGATGAAGGTACAGCAGGAGGAGGGGGAGGAGGAGGTAATTGTATAGTCATAATTCCCGAAATACCATTAGTTAAAGTAGAATTATCTTGAGGAAGGGTAATATCCAAAGCCGAAATATCAGTAGGATTATTCAAGATCTTTGTAGATTTTCTTGATCTCCTCTGATTAGATTTAGTATGAGTTTTATAATGAGCGGCAAAATTATCAGATCTGCCAAATTTTTTACCACAACCAGGATAATGACAGGTATATTTGCGTTCGCCGGTATGAGTGATCATATGACGTTTTAAATGTTCTAAACGTTTAAAACTCCAAGTACAACCGGGCCAATCACATTTATGTCTATTACGCGAGACGGAAGATGATGACGGAGGAGAATTAAGATTAGAAGAGGGGTTAGGGGAATTTCCAGGATAAGGGGAAATACGAGGAGTGATGGCATCCGAAAAAATGAGAGGAAGAAGAAGAGGAAGAGGAAGAAGAAAAAGTTACATGATTATTATTATTAGAAATTGGTACCATATACATATGATTTGGATTATTTAATGAAGCAGAAGGATGAAGATGTTGAGGAGTTGGGGCATGTAAAGAGAAGATTGGCATCATCCAATTATTAATGATTGGTTGAGCAGTGTCTCGTGATTGTAGTGGAGGAAAAAAATAAGTTCGATTAAATCGAGATGGGTCGATTGAAGTTGTGGATGATGAGTTCACTTGATTTGGAGTTGGAGCAATTAACCGTGGTTTAGGTTCTGGTAAAGATTTATATTTGATGGTTAAATGGTGGATTGAAGATAATAATCATGAAAATTAGAGAATTATCTGACTTCTTACCCATTGTTAAATTCTCCGAATATAGCTAGAATATAGGCAGAATATAGAGATAGAGTATAGCTGGAATATAGTTAGAGTATAGCTAGAATATAAATAAAAAGTGGTTAAAATATTTTTTTTGATATTATGTATACACGGTTAAAAAAATAAAACCATAGATGTGAACAATACTTTATTTGACTTTTACAATGCACAAGTTAAAAATTACGTAAAGTACTTTATCTAAAATCGTTGCCAGAATATTATTTTCATTATATCATTCTTTAATATATTGTGAGTTATCTATGAATATATCTTTATAAGATACCAACCTCTTAATATATTATGAGTTATCTATGAATATATCTTTATAAGATACCAAACTCTTTTAATATATTGTGAGTTATCTATGAATATATCTTTATAAGATACCAAACTCTTTCAATATATTGTGAGTTATCTATGAATATATCTTTAAGATACCAAACTCTTTTAATATATTGTGAGTTATCTATGAATATATCTTTAAGATACCAAACTCTTTTAATATATTGTGAGTTATCTATGAATATATCTTTACGATACCAAACTCTTTTAATATATTGTGAGTTATCTATGAATATATGGAGTCTTTGCCTTGAAACTCACCTCTCGACATTTCCGATCGGGTTAATTCGGACAAAAATAAACCCGAGCACCGGTTCATGTTCATATGTTAACCATCTTTTACTTTTATTGATGTTAACCATCTTTTACTTTTATTGATTCAATAGTTATTCGACAAACTATTGAATCAATAAAGTTAAAAGATGATTAACATATGAACATGAACCGGTACTCGGTTGATTTTTGTCCGAATTAACCCGACCGGAAATGTCGGAAGGTGATTTTCAAGGCAAAGACCCCATATCTTTATATAAGATACCATACTCTTTTAATATATTGTGAGTTATCTATGAATATATCTTTATAATAAAAATTTTTTACTTTAAACAACTCAAAATATAACTTAGATAAAGTATATATAAAACAACAGATCACAAAAATACAATGCCTTATAATGTATATAATTATTTTAGTTTATTCACAAAACCAATGTTTCTTTTTTTATATTTAAATTTGTTATAAATGCAATGTTACTACTACACAATATTCATTATTTCGTTTCAATTTTTGATAGTAAGCATATCAATCACTAATTGATGTATTTAATATAAACGATTCAGGTTTGTTAATGCTTATTTCCGATTCTGTTCATCTATATAGTATGGGTCAAACAAGCCAGATTGAAAATTTCAATAAAAATCCTATTTAGAAAATATGTATAATATAAGTATAGTTTTATATTATGAGTCGTTTTGAA